TTGATAAATAAATTTAATATTTTGTTGCTTTAACGGCTATGGCACGTATTACCTTATTATTTAAAATTATTTGATCAACCGTATACAGGGTGGAATTTTGTAAAGCCACCTGGAGGGAAAGTACTCTTAATACTGTAGGTAGAAAATTTTACTCAAAGACAACATGCCTTTATTTTTGAAAAGAAAGAGAACTGCATTCAAAGATTTTCGACATTTTTCGAAAACTTACCACCATCCCATTCAATAATCTGTAAATGATTACAAAAATTTAAGATTTCATGGTTTTCCTTTTATTTATCAAGTTTGTTTGAGAGATTTCATCCTTGTACTTAACTCTAACGATCGAACGAAAGTTTTGGGAATCTTTGAATGCAGCTATTTCTTTAAAAAAATAAAGGAATGGTTTCTTTGAGTAAAATTTTCTATCTATAGTATTTAGAGTAGGTAGGTACTTTCCCTTCACGTGGCATTACAAAATTCCACCCTGTATACGGTAAGTATTGGTTATAATAAATACATTGTGTTTTCATTAAAAAAGAAATTAAGTATATTTTATACTGGAGTTTACATAAGTCGTTATATTACAAAGATAACTACTTTCATTTATGGTGCAAAAACATATTATACCTACTTCGAAACTCAAGAGAATCTAAATTTATTTATTTAATAGAACAACCAACAAGACATACAATAGAAGACAATCAATATTTACAACGTATTTAAACTTAATCTAAGTACTTACTTAATTTAGGACAACAAAGTGCTCCTAAGGGTTCCGCTTTTTCCTTTTGAATTATGGAAACCCTAAAAATTGTTTTACTACTTTCCTCGCAACTTTTCCACATTTTCTCAACGCTCAAGTAAATCGAAACAATCATTTCTAATACCGACCAAGCCGTTAGTAAAACGAATAGCAATTAATTCTCAATAATAGAACTTATAAGATTCGAAACTTACATTAATGTTTGTACTTAAAATAAACAATCAGTCTCAAATTCCTGACAGGCGCACGATTATTTGGTATAGATGGCGCTAGACAATAATATTGCCAATGAGGGCTATCGTTTTTATACTTAACAGTTGGCACCCCTGGCGATTGACAGGACCTTACTCTACAGTGGCGCCATCTTGATGAGTGCAAATGCGATAGTCCTCCTACCACTTTAGCGCTCACCAGTTGGTGATAAGATAAGATAAGATAAGATAATACTTTATTGCCTCGTTTTTACATGCTTTACAAACATAGAAATATAAACAAAAAAATTACATTAAAAAACATAAGAGGCAAAAGGATGAGGCTCAGCATATGCGAGGTCAAGCATACCCTACCCCGCGCTGATTTTCAGCCTCCTCCTTTTCCCTTAGTTGGAAGGTGGGAAACAACCAGTAAAAAGGGGAGGAGGGTAAGATTAAACAGGGGTAATTAAAATACAAAAACAAAAACCCTATAAATACAAAGAGAATATGTATGTACGGTACTCGTTAGTTTCAGTTGATTGTGTGTGTACATGTGAGACGTGAGTGTTGTGTGTGTTGGTGTATGTTTGTTAGTGTATTTGCGTATAAAAGGAATTTAGGTTGGGATGAGTGGAAAAAAAAACTGCCTCAAAGACAAATGTTTCCAGTAGGCGTGCTTCAAGTCTTCCGCGACATTTTGTTTCTGGGATAAAGCCTTTTTGTACATATTTTTAAAATATTGACCGCTAGTTTCTTTTCTCAGGGGTGGAGGAAGGTCGTTCCATATTTTTGTTGCGGAAAACCTGAAACTTCCCCTGTATCGGGAAGTCCTGTGTTTAGGAACCCTGAGTAGATTTTGCGCCGTAGAACGGAGCAGCCTGAAGGCTTCATTCGTACGCCAATTTATTTTCTCATACAGGTATTCTGGTTTTTTATTCCATATTATTCTGTGGACGGTACATGCATAATGGAGTTCTCTCCTGCCCTTCATGTTGAGGATGTTATGTCGGTTCATATATGGAGTAATATACTGCCTTCTTGGAACGTTAAGGCTGAATCTGACACAAGCGTTTTGAACTCGCTGTATTGCTCTTTCCTGGCTACTACACAGTCTTGGACCATAAACATTACTACAGTAGTTAAAGGGGGAGAGTACCAACAGGTCTGTGAGAAGTATCCACTGGTGCCACTGTCTTCGCTACTAGCAAGTGACAGGACCTTACTCTACAGTGGCGCTAACTGGTGAGCGCTAAAACGATAGCCCTCATTATTTCGAACAGGGGCACTTCATTGTCTACCCGCAGCATTACTACACATTAACTTATGAACCAAATTACGTACTAATACAGGGTGTTTAAATCGTTGGTATCCTTTTAAAATAAGACTTTACTCATGATACATGGTACACAAGTTTGCGCGTTCACCGCCAAAAAGATGGTATCCCGCTGTTTCGAGAACACTCCCCTAACTGCCTCAGCCAATATCGGAATCCTTGGTGTCGACATATCGAGCGAAGTCCAGTTGCGTGGTCACTTAGAGGGTAAGGCTAAATTAGCCTCGAAGAAGCTTGGTGTGCTCAATAGATCGAGACGGTATTTCACTCCAGCCCATCGTCTGCAACTTTACAAGGCGCAGGTTCGGCCTCATAATAATACGGAAATAGGAATACTGTTCTCATCTTTGGGCAGGTGCGCCCCAGTACCAGCTTCTCCCTCTGGACCGCATTGAACGGAGAGCAGCTCGAATGGTTGACTGCCAGGACATTTCGGATCGGCTTGACCCCTTGGCGCTGCGTAGAGATGTATCCTCACTGTGCATCTTCTATCGCATGTATCACGGGGAGTGCTCCGAAGAATTGTCCGGACTTATTCCTGCCGCCACTTTTCGCCGCCGATCTACCCGACAGCACTTCCATCCCCATCACTTAGATGGTTGGCAGTCCACAACGGTACGTTTCTCTAGAAACTTCCTGCCCCGTACAACCAAACTGTGGAATGGACTGTCGTCTGCGGTGTTTTCGGACGGATACGACCTGCAAGCTTTCAAGAGAAGAGCGTATCTTCACCTTAAAGGCCGGCAACGCACCTGTAACGCCCCTGGATCTGCGGGTGTCTATGGGCGACGGTAATCACTTACCATCAGGTGATCAGTCTGCTCGTTTGCCTCCTGTCACATAAAAAAAAACATTCCCGAAATATGCCGGATCCAATGACTTAAAATGGCAATAAATGAAAAACTTTTACAGACCAACAGCAAGCTTAACAATGTGGCATCTTATTTCGATACACACTATTAATACAAATAATAATAGTAAAAATATAGACAATAACTTATTGGATTTTGTCTCATACTTGGGAAAACCCGGCTCTAACGCTATGAACATGAGTATTAGAGTCTTATTTTACAAGGATTCCAATGATTTCAATATCACAATATCCTGTTTAATGAACTAAAATTATTTTAACTACTAAACTAAACGAATACTATTTAACATTTGAACTTGCATAGTACTGATGTTATAGGCTATTTCTCATCGCCACGGTTCTCATCGTCACCTTCGTGGCGAATTTTATTTCTAACTTATTTCAACTTTTTGTAAACAAAAATTGTAGCGCTTGATGTGAAGATTGTATTCTCAGTAAATCAGTCAAATAATGAGTCTCGTTTGGAAGCTTTAACGTTTTGAATTTTTTGATGCCACGAAAGTGATTCTGTACTTCACAGCAATAATTTTTTCAAACTTTACTACTGTAAATGACTCTTAAGTGTTTATAAAACATATATTTTGTCTTATTTTCATAGATAAATAGTAATAACATAATATAAATAGGTACCTACTTAAATACAAGATAAAATTTTACCGATTACGTCACCTACTAAGTTACAAGATTCTACGCAATTGGTTTTAAGGGTGACACTGGTGGCATTCTGAAATGCTAAAGAAGCAAAAAACGGATTATCAGTACCTCAATAAAAAGAACTCTAACTGATTATCAGTCCTTCAACAAAAATATATTTTTTATTTAGGCCAGAGGGCCTCGTATTTTTGTTATACAACTTTTTTAAGTCAAACTTCAGATTAAATTTATCTTACAAACAGATACACACACAGTCACATATACAGACATGCATACAGTCACACAGACAAACAGACAACAAAAATACGAGGCCCTTATTTATTTATTGATGTACTGATCTCTACTTACCACGTATAATTTATTAGTTATTAAAATATTGTAAAAACATAAACACCAGTCACTATATTTTAAAATAAACCAAAGCAAGAAATCACTTTCGTGGCCTAAAATCACCTTCGTGTATAAAACACCACGAAGGTGATGCCACGAAGGTGACGAAAATTTTAGTTTTTTATGAATTATCCTTAAATTTGAATTTAACGGTTCAAGTTGAATACTACACAAATAAGTCTAACATGTTAAGTTTTCAATGGCAAAGTTTCAATTAAATTGTTTAAATTTTAGAGGTAGAAAATATTGTTCAAGCAAGCGACGGTATGTCTATGGATAATCACAAAAAGTTACGTATTTTTTTCGCGGAGCGACGATCGACCTATCTCACCTCCCCAATGGTCGAAGCGCGACTGACGTTAACCGAATAGAACGCTGTGATTGGTTGCTGGTGTTCGGTTTAACGGCAATCTTGTATTATAACTCAAAATTTTAGGTACCTAAAATCGTGTGACCAACGTATTTCGCTTTCCCAATTCAAAATAATTATAAGAAGATATTTTTTTTACTATTGTGTGGAAAGCATATTTAATTACGATGATTTTAGTATATGCTGCACACAAATTGAATGAAAATTGTGAATGCAGTAACCAAATGTTTCATTGCAACCGAAGGTGTGACACGATGAGAACGCGAAAAATGACCCCGTTTTTTATCGTTTCATGTGATTTTTTCGTATTATTTTTGCTTCTATTACGATAAAATTTATTTTGTATGTAGCTAAATAGATATTTTATCATCTGATTTCAAAGTTATTGTTCTAACTTATACCGTTTATGAACTATTATTGTGTGACCATCAAATTTGAGTGTAAATGAGAAGTACCCTATAACAGATTGGCTATTTATAACATAAATGCAATAAATAATTATGTATTGAGTATTGAAAATAATGTTACGCTTTATATCCACTTACACGTGACACCGCTGTACGCTTTTGAAGAAGAAAAACACTAGTTTGGAAACGCTAGTTTCTAGGAATAATAACTGACTAAATATTAGACTAGGACATAAAAAATTGAACTATTTACGTATGTAAAGGTCATAACCTGTTCAAAGACATCTTAGAATTGCACAACATGTCTTGATGGAGGGTCGAAAGCACATTTTTCATTTTCTGACCTGATTTCGCCTTCGGCTTCCTTTTCCTTGGCAATTGCGTCAGCAACCGCTCCCAGAACTGGTCGTCTCTAAGACTCAAATTATTCCTCGTCTGGATGAATCTGTCCAAACTAGGATCTGACTGTAATTCTTCTGTAAGTACTAATAAGACTCGCTTTCTTTTGCTGCGCCTTTCGTCCATCAAAGCAGCGCGCAGTTCAAGCCGAGCGTCCGATTCGAAGTAATCATTAGACAACAAGACCAGTGTCCTACGAGATTCTTCGACCAAATTGGTGACTTTCACAGGAAGGTAGTCCCCTACATCCCAGTTCACGCAGCGAAGACTCACCGAGAACCCAGCGCGCCTCAAAAGTGGAGCCAATTGAGTTACAACGAATTTCTCTAACGAATCGGGGTAAGATATGAGAACGTCAGTAGTTCTGTTGTCGACGTCTTCTTCGTACATGAACGGGGGGAGAGGCCAGCCGCGGGTGTATATGAATTTCTCGATCTTTCTGATGCGGTAGTAGACTAAAACCACCACCACTGCTGCCAGTAGGCCTGCAGCAGCTAAGGCAGACCCCACTACGGTCGCCCACCACACGTCGCATAAATGCCCCGGTTCTAATTTAGCCAAATACGACCCGTCGTTACACACTATAGCATCATAATCTTTGATTTTATCCTTACTTTTGTACAACAAATCTATTTGAAGCTTATTCCAACAGGAACACGAAATTTTATTACCAGCCAAATACAAAGTCAGATTATCTCTCAAAGCATCTTCTGGTATTGCCGTTAAATCATTATTTCTTAAATCTAATTCCACAATACCATGAGGTATATCAGGCACTTCAGTAAGACTCAAATTGTGGAGATCTAAAAACACTGCATTTTCAGGTAAATTCATAGGAACTTGAATATTTCTGATTCTGACTTTAGTACTTTTCAAATTAAAGCTCATTGCATCAGGAAGTCCTAGAGATGGAGTTTTGGAGCAATCGAATTCAATCATAGAAGTTTCCGGTCGAATTTTACAGGAACAAGATTCAGGGCATCCTTCACTATTATTAACATCACAATATAAGGATTCTAAAGGCAAGTCGTGTATTGAATTATTGATCAAGATATTTGGAGAAGTACAAAGTGTGTTTTCTAAAACAAATTTTGGGTTTTGGTGGTGTCTAGTGAAGTACAAGAAAGGGTGCAAGTCGCAATTACAGTTTATAGGATTGTACCCCAAAAGGAAAGTCGCGCCGTCGTATTCCGTAGCGTCGTGGAGATTGGGGCGCACAGCGATGGTGGTGATGTTGTTGTGCCGAAGATCTATGGTCACGTTGAAGCCGAGGAACTCGACGTCTTGTGCCTGAAACGAAGCATTAATATTATAATAACTTGTCACAAAATTCTTGCATACCATGCAAATTTTAGAACTTCGATCGTGAGATTCCTTAGCCCTTAACTATGTCTTCCTATAGTCTGGTCTGCGAGCACGTAGAATTTTGCACTCGCACACTCACTGCGGGCGCCCGTCGCACAGTCGCGACAGCAATATAATTACGCGCGAGCGATAAGGATGGGTAGCTTGGGGTCATTGGACAAAATTCTACGTGCTCACAGACCGGCCGACTGTTGTGGACGCCCTCTGCCCCATCTAGGGGACATAGGACCATAAGTCAAGTAAGTCAAGACAGACCGGCCTTTAGTGTGTTAGCCTATAATATAAGGTACTTTGGCCTTTCCAGGAAAGATCACTATCATCATCATCATCATCATTTCAGCCACTGGACGTCCACTGCTGAACATAGACCTCCCACAACGATTTTCATAATGGCCGGTCGGTTGCAGCCTGTATCCAGCGCCTTCCTGCTTATCTTTATCAGGTCATCGTTCTGCCTTGTCGGTTGACGTCCTACGTCCATTTTATTTTGTTTTATTCAGAAAACCAACTGCATAATTAAAAAAATTACACGAATGGTACTTATAACTATGAGTAAAGCTAATTACAGTTCAACGATTCCATGATCAATAAAACTGGATGTTTAGTTACATTTTAAAGTAAGCATAAAATGGCAATTGGCCCGATAGTTCCTATGCTGACCGGACTTCTAAACAATCTGTGGTTGGAATTTCCCCGGAAGCAGATATCAGTGAGCAAGCAATGATTCCCGGAATCATGGTCAATTTTTATTATCTAACTGGTCTTCTGGAGTCAGCATATCCGTCATCAGCTTGCCTATTAATCGAGGCGTTTTATTAATTTTGAAGATCAGTCCATACATTAATTTGTCGTATGAAATCAACGATAAGATTATATTGTGGAGCGCATAAGTCCCTCTTACCCAGGCACATAATTCATCCAATGAATATAAATTTTGTGGATCTTCGTTCATTTCAGCCAAATAACATCCACTGTTGGACAAGAGCCTCCCCCAAAAATTTCCATAGCAACTGGTATTGCTGGTAGGGCAAAAAAAGAATGAGACATGTATAGGCTCCTTAAGAGCATTTGACGATTTGCAAGAACTAATTTAATTAGTCTAAACAAATAAAGATAATTTTGATTTTGATTTTGATTTTGCGTCCAAGTAAATACACTTCTCACGACTTTCACCTAATCGTCTGTCAACTTAGTGAAAGGCCTGCCCACACTATGTCGTCTGACCCGTGGTCGCTACTCGAGAACTTTGTGGATGATATAAACGGGACTATTCCCACCTCTTGTTCCCACCCCTGCAACTCCAGGATCTACAGTTTGACCTCCATAAAAACCCACACTGATGTGGATAATATAAAAGAAGCTAAAACTCACTTACCCTCAAAGCACGTATCCTATTCCTGGACAAGTCTATCGTCCTTATGGAGTGTACCCACGCCAGCCGCCAGTCGTCGAACACCTTCCTTATCAAATTCCCGCTCAAGTCTATTTCTTCTAGATAACTCAGATCTCGAAACGGTGAATCTTCATTACCGTCTTCAAGCATTAATTGGTTGTTTCGTAAGGACAGTCTGTTAAGGTTCTTTGGCCCGTTGAAGGTGGAATGCGGGATGAGAGAGAGACGGTTGTCGTCAATAGAGATCGATTTGAGGTTGGTCAGACCTTCAAAGAGACTCCTGTAAGAAGAAGGCATTCTGGAATTGGTTTAAAGCTCTGCTTGGGTGTGGAGAAAAGAAAATTCATACGAAATTCACGAAAAAGATCTTATGGACTGTGCCATTAAATAACAACATCATTAAAGTCGATTTAGGCCCGATTCGACCAAACTTTTATCCGAGAATAACTCCTGGTATATCTGGCACATTGACACTCAGTATGGGAAAATGTCAAAATGTTGAATAACTGACGATTTATTCTGAGATTAATGTTTGGTCGAATCCACCCTTCACACACCTAATTTTGAAGAATGTCTCCTCTAAAAATAAGAATAAAAGCACTCACCAAGGTAACACTTCAATCAGGTTTCCAGTCAAGTTCAACTCAGCCAAATTGTCAAGAGGCCAGAAAATATCTTCGGGCAGTATCTCAATGTTATTGTGGCTCATATCTAATATCTTCATTTGTCTCTGGTCGCGGAATAACTTCCTTGGAAGTTCACTGAGACCGCACTTGGTGATGTTTATGTAGTATATAGCTTTGGAGTTGGTGAATAGATCTTCTGGTAGAGGGTATAGCGGTGTGGAGTGTATGAGGATATGCCTGAGCCTTGGCAGGTTGGATAGAGAGAGGCTCTTGAACTTCAGCGAGGATTTACTTGCTTTGATGTCGATCTGAAAGAGAAGGAATGATTTAGTGATTGTGTTCAGCAGAAAGACGGTAGATGGTTAGAGATGTGGTGATTTGTAGAACTTTTCATTTCAGCTGATTTTAAAGGGACTACCCTGCTTTTCCTTTGGTTAGATGTCGTATAAGAAGTAAGTATCAGGTGATCCGTCTGCTCGTTTGCCTCCTATCACATAAAAAAAAAAAAAAGTAATGAAGAAATATGCGAATATCAGGCCTCCTCCGCCCGTTTGGCGGCGCATTGTAGACGAGGCGAAGATAATCGGCAAGACTTGTAGCGGGATCAAACGCGAAGCTCAAGACCGAACGCTATGGAGGACTGTTGTGTACGTCCTCTGCCCCTCTGGTTTATTGGTGGACAAGCTGTAGATCCTGACTACTGAGTTGCTATAGGAACGAGAAGTGGGAATAGTCTTGTATGCCAGATGATACCTACCTCTTCAAGGTCATCCAGTCCCTCAAAGGCTCCGGTCTTGATCACTTCCAGGCCGGTCTGTGCCAGCGTGAGGCGGCGCAGTCGCGGCAGGCTGGCGAAGACGCGCGCGCGCAATGTAAGCAGTGGGTTGCGGCATAGATCCAGGTGCGTGAGACTGTGCAGACCTGAGCATACAGATTCAGGTTCAAATACGTTTTTTTAAGTTCCGTTACCCCTGGTGGTAACCTAAATATGCTTGTTACAAGTGGGGTCATCGTAATAGTATTTTATACCAATTGAAGGGGTGAGTGGACAAAGGTCTTAACTAACAAAATGAGTTATGAGTGTTTGAATAAGAATAAGAATAAGAATAAGAATAAGAAATTTATTCATAATTATATTATTATTTATTCAAACATGTCAAATTTTCTATATATTTTCTTATTAATAATAAACAATAGTTTGAATATGTTAATCTGCTCATACCACATTTGAATCCTGAAATGTATGAATGCTTGTCAGATAACACCTTTGTTAGTGGTTAAGGTTTGACACGTAACAAAATTGCGTGTTTTATCATCACTTAATTAGTCGATTTTATCATTACTTAAAACCTACTTTCATGCAAAAAAGTCGATTCTTCAGTTTTGTCAGATAACACCTTTGTCCACTCACCCCTTCAATTGTAGTGCTAACCTAAGTTTGTGAGGGGAAACAAATGATTTATTATTATTATTATAGTCGAGCGGCAGCAGGGATCGAAACCGCGTTCGTTCATACCTTAATCGTTCAGCTATCGCCGCTTACGATACTCCAAATAAAATCAAATTCAAATTCACACTTGACTTTAAATTAAGTAGCCGCCTTTTAAAGGAACTTCATCATTAAAACATCATCTGGGGGCACGGCAGTGCCCCCACCAAGTCGAGCAAAAAAGCGGCACGGCCGTACCATCCTTTTCTCGAAGCAATTCAGGCCATTTTCGACTGCCTGTAACTTCGTTGTGGATAAAACTAGAAGGCTGAATTTTCATAAGCTATGCAGGCATTGTAAAGACACGGTATATTTAAAATTTCATTCAATTTGAACCAGTAGTTTAAGAATTATAACGGGTCAAAGTTACTTAATTTTGTCACTCACTGACTCACTGACTGACTCACCGATCATCAAAATTCTAAGGCAGTTCTAGCAGACCTAGAAGCTTCAAATATGGAATATAAGTAGTGTTTGGTGTATGAATCAAGGAAAAACTAAAATATTTGGGGGCACGGTAGTGCAACCGCCAAGTCGAGTAAAATTTTTTAATTTCGGTCCAGTTTTCTAGATACATAACTGCTGTCTACAAAATACAAAAAGAAATGAGATTTGGGGGCACGGTAGTGCAACCGCCAAGTCGAGTAAAATTTTTCAATTTCGGTCCAGTTTTCTAGATACATAACTGCTGTCTACAAAATAAAAAAAGAAATATCCCATCAAAAACAATACTTGTCAAAAAAACCAAGTCTCGCAACTCAGTTGTTCTACGGTAAAAAGTTGTGAGATCCATGTAATACCAAGTCCAGGCCAGGAAATCTTTAACGTTTTACATAAATATATTGACTTGGCCATCGCATGAAAACACGTGTAAATTAAATTATTTAGTGCGATGGCCAAGTCAATAATTTATGTAAAACGTTAAAGATTTCCTGGCCTGGACTTGGTATTACATGGATCTCACAACTTTTTACCGTAGAACAACTGAGTTGCGAGACTTGGTTTTTTTGACAAGTATTGTTTTTGATGGGATAATTATTTCAGCTCAGGACGTTCACTGAATATAGGCCTCCTCTAATGATTGGTTGGTGAATTGGTTGGTAGTATCCAGGGTCATCCTGCTACCCTTTTGAGGTCGTCTATCTACCTGGTAGAATAAGGAACTTACACGTCCCAAATTGTATTACTTGACATCATAAATAATGTTGAGAAGTGGTGGAAAAAGTTAGTCAGGCTTTGGTTTATAACAGTAAATTGTGTTTTGTGATTCAGCAAGTTACAAGATCTGGTGAAGGTCGCGGGAGGTGCCTGGATGCGAGCGGCGCAGGATCGGTCTTCGTGGAAATCCTTGGGGGAGGCCTTTGTCCAGCAGTGGACGCCTTTCGGCTGAAACGAACGGACGAAGTTGTAAGATGTAGTGAAGTTACACAATGAATAAGCGACTCCCTTAGCCTGGAAGGCAGAATTTAAAAGAGAATACCCCAACAGTGGGACACAAACTAAACCATACCTTCAAAGTCCTCTTCCGATATATTTTCAATCTTGTTCCCGTACAAGAACAGCCGGGTCAGGTTGGGGAAAGTCCTGAAGGTGCCAGGAGGGATCTCTCTGATGTGGTTGAGTCCCAGCTCTAACGTTTGAAGATGTGTGTTCTGGACGAGGCTCGGCGTCAGCTGGATGATGCTGTTCTTCACATGGACATCGGTGAGGGTTGGGAGTCTTGCTATAGCGTCGAAAGGGAGCGTCTTTTGGAAACCTGTGTAAAGTCAAAATTTTACAGGATTATAAAAAAGGCTTCACACGTCCTTGGTAAACTTTTTAACTCTTGCCACGAATTTATTGTCTTTAGGCGCAGTCATGTTTAAAAGAAGTAAAAAGGATTCAAGGTTATTTTGAGACGCGCTTACTTATAAGTGCATCATTTCGATTTTGCAGTCAATGCCCATCAAGCAGCAACAGGTAACACTACTAACCGCCCTCAGTAAACAAGAGGCTATTGAGTGGTGGAAGTCTACATCAGGACAAAAACACTCAAGAACACTCATTCAGGGGTATAGCAACAAAGTACTAACTAAGGAACTGCTATAGTTCAAAAGATACAAAGCCTGTGTAGTGACTAGAATACTAACCGGCCACTGCAAACTAAACAAACACAAATCAAACATGAACATGACCGAGGAAACTCTGTGCAGATTCTGCCATACAGAAGAAGAAACGGCCATGCATGTTCTTTGCTCATGCGGCCCGCTTATGAGCAAAAGAAGTATCCATCTCGGGCGACACATCATGCACCCGGATGAGATAGCAGATATCACGCTCCAAAGAATCTGGAATAGACTCAACGTGACTAAGCAGTGTACTCTAAAGACAAGGGCTGCCACAATAGATCAAACCTGGTCCCAAAAAACCAATAATAACACTACTTACCAGTGTCCAAGATCCACAGCGACTGTAGTCCCTCCAACTCTGCAACATGGGAACCAGTCAGCTCGCTACAGCCTTCCACCCGCAAGGCGCCCACCGCTCCTGCCCCCAGCCGCGGCAGTAAGCAGGCAAGCGACTCCGGGAGCTCGCATGAGTCCAGCTGCAGCGTCGGCAGGACCCCGTTGTGGGTTGCTGAGAGTTGGGGGAAGCTGGCGCAGCTCAGGCGACCTCCCTGGAATGAAACGCAAAGTAAGGGTTATACGTCCCACAAGTTCAATTCACGCCTGTCAATCACTTAAGTAATAAATATGTGTATGAGCAGCACTCAAATGGGGCGATTTATTTAGCACTCTTCGGAGTACCTAAAACCATCCCTTAGCATAGATTGGCATAGCATCTTCTACGGCACAGGGTCCCTTAACCTTGCTTTGGGAATGTGGGCCAGCGCTAGGAAGAACCTCTAAGCCCCTCGTATGCTTGTGTTACAAGAGTGCTCGCCACAATAGTCGAGCGGCGGCAGAACACGAACCTGCGTTGCTCGGATTTCTGGTAAAAAGAGGCTTGATGCTGGGAAGTTAGGTAGAGCAGCTCATACTCCTGCAGTGAAGACTGAGTGACTTGATGCTGGAGTTAGGGAAAGAACGGCTGAACCATTTAAGAACCTAGTAAGGGACATTTTTGCAGATTTTCGTTTTTTGTCATAAATCACCTTAGAATTAAGGTCTCCACAGGATGTGAAGACAGAAATCGCTCTATTACACTTAACACCGGAGAAACGCGTTGCTAAAAACCTAGTAAGTCCAATTCAAATCTGCAAAAACCATTATCAAAACCTAGCAAGTTACAATGACCATTTAAAACCTAGTAAGTGCATGGACTTACTAGGTTTCAAAATGGTCAATGTGACTTACTAGAGGTAAAATGCTACTGTAATTTAAATATTAAATGAGGATCATTTCGATTTTTAGCTGTGAATGCAGATTTATAGGGCTAAGAAATCCTTAATACACAGTGCAAAAATTTTTGTTCTACGACAAAAATTGACGAAGTTATGGCCAAATTACTAAAAAAGTTCACTGACCGCCCGGCGCGGGGACGATGACGTCATTATATCCGATCCGAACGCTGCCGGCGTACTGCGTGGATAGAAAATATTTTTTTCTAGCCAAATTATCAGTTTTAGAGAAAAACTTGTAATGACATTTATTCATCAGAATAAAGTAAGCTATCGATAGGTAATTTTTAAAAATGGAAATTGTGAAAAATAACGCAAAAAATCCATACGCTCATACGATTCAATGGCACGCAGAGACGCGATTGGGGTCTCCGCGGTGGTATATTTGGCGATTTATTCAAATAAAGTGTACTACATAAGTGTTGTTAGAGTCATATCTTCTTCCAAGTAAAATATAAAAATGTATAAGTATTAATTTATTTACTTCTAACAATAAGGTATAACTTCTAACAATAAGACATTGCTATGAAAATCATTTCGATGTACACTTAATAATACCTACCTGTTATTTAGTTTTTCTGAGTTAAACCTACGCACCTACCTATCTATTCGCCGTTCCCATGGGCGGGCCAGCTGCTGCAGGAATATAATCTTAGCCTAGAAGCTGGGTATGACTACCCCACCCCTCTCCTCTCCCCAGGTCATAAGCTGGGCATGACTTCCCCCTCGGCCAGAAGTTGGGTATGATTTACCCATCCCCCCCCCCTCCCGGCCCGAAACTGGGTATGACTTGACCCCTCCCCCTCCCCCCAGGCCAGAAGCTAGGTAAGGCTTGCCCCTACCCCCAGGCCATAAGCATAAGCTGGATATGACTCCCCTTCGACAGAGCGAATGCGGTATCCATCGGGAAAACAACTTTTTTACACCTAATTGTTTATGCAAGATTATTTGTATTTGACTCATGCCAATGTCTAAGGTTGCCTGAATTTCGCGGTATGTCACATGTCGATCTTCTTCAATCAGCTTACGCACAACATCAACGTTTTCTTGGGTGACTGCAGTTTTTGGACGACCTTGACGGGGATCATCACTGAGCTTGACACGTCCACGTTGAAATTCAGCAAACCAGCGATAAATTGTGGTTTTGGATGGGGCTTCATTACCAAATGCAGAAATCATCCGGTCAACACACTGGTTTTGTGTTAAACCACTCCGAAAGTCATAATAAATCGTCGCTCTTGAATTTTATCGAGTCAATTCCATTTTCTCAACGACTGAACAAGTTTCACAAGACCTTGTGATAAGACCGAGAATCTTTTTTTAATTAAATAAATAGTATTCGATTTATAAAATCAAGGAGTTTGCAATTAAAAAGATTTTAATATGATAGGAGCAGTGGAAATATTCCATTCCCGATACTTTTAGTGCAGCCCTCGTATTTCGAGTTCTGTTGGCTGACTCTCGATAACCATATCAAAATCTGGGGACTACATGAGTACTGATTCATATTCGATTTTGATTTTTACGAGGCACTTTTGTCAAAAAAATAATTTTTAGTGTTAGTAAAGAGCATAAAACTTGCAATTTTTAACTAAATATATTCTTTTATTCCATAAAGTATACTTTAGTAACTAATCTTTAATATAAACATCGGAAGTTATCCAAATCTTTAAGCATCTTAGCAGGGCAAATGAAAATGCGTTTTTCGCTCTCCTGTAAAATTTGCTCCGCTGCACTTACTAGGTTCTTAAATGGTTCAGCAGAAGAGGCGTGCTCCAGCAGTGAACCCTAAATCATGTGTGCTTCCTCAGTGGGCTCTAAAGCCGAACCAACCTTGCAGAAAACCTGCACCCTCTCGTTAACATCCACGAGGACGACGAGCTGGTCCCCTCCCCCCTCGCAACGGTACCCCTCTTGCCCTCCCCTATAAGCGCTCTGACTTAAAGAGTGTAGTCCAAATCCTCATCCTCATCCTTTTTACCAAAAGCAAATTGCTTCTGGTAAAAAGAGGCCTGATGCCTGATGCTGGGAAGTTAAAATCAAAATCAAAAATCAAAATTATCTTTATTTGTTTAGACTAATTAAATTAGTTCTTGCAAATCGTCAAATGCTCTTAAAGAGCCTATACATGTCTCATTCTTTTTTTGCCCTACCAGCGCTTCGAGACAAACATTTGGCAAGTGCTGAGAAGAAGCGCCGCAACAGTTAGGGAAAGAGTGTCGTGCAGCATCAACTCACTCAGTCTTTACTGCAGGAAGTAAAGACAGTGAGTTGATGCTGGGTCGTTCTTCTGCAGTATAGGCTAAATGACCAGATGCTGGTATTGTAAGTTAGGGAGAGACGATCATGCTCCCGCATTAAAGACTAAAAATCTGATGCTGAACCTGATAAAGAACGTGACGGACCGACGATCTAAAGCCTGGTCCGTGAGCACGTAGAATTTTGTCCAATGACCCCAAGCTACCCATCCTTATCGCTCGCGCGTAATTATATTGCTGTCGCGACTGTGCGACGGGCGCCCGCAGTGAGTGTGCGAGCGCGACAGCAACATAATTACGCGCGAGCGATAAGGATGGGTAGCTTGGGATCATTGGACAAAATTCTACGTGCTCACGGACCGGGCTTTAGTAAAGGTCGCGGGAAATACCTAGATGCAGGTAGCGCAGGGCCGGTTGTTATAGAAATGTTTGGGGGAGGCCTGCGTCCAGCAGTATACGTCATTAGGCTGAAACAAACAAACCTGATGCTGAACCAACCTTGCAGTATACTTGCGCCCTCTCGTTCACATCCACGACGACGACGAGCAGGTCCCCTCCCCCCTCGCAACGGTACTCTTCTTGCCCCCCTCTCTGGGCGCAGCGGCAGCCGGCGGGGCAAGCTGCGCGGGCGCTGGTTACGGCAAGGAACAGCAGCGCTGCTTCTGCCAACTGGAAGAAGGTGAAGCTACTTAAAATACATCTATTGTTTTATACTTTCATGGTCACTAATCTACACTAATATTATAAAGAGGAAAACTTTGTTTGTTTGTTTGGTTGTTATGAATAGGCTCAAAAACTACTGGACCGTTTTTAAAAATTCTTTCACCATTCGAAAGCTACAGTATCGACGAGTAACATAGGCTAAATTTTATTTTGGAAAAAAATAGGGTTCCGTAAAATATGTAGATCGGCCATTCTCAGATGAGCTAGTTTTTGGGTGTCCGGGCTGTTAAATCGTTAAAAATGACAAATTAGAGACATGCATGTATTTTTATATGTTACTTAACAACCCCATCCAGTTGTGCATTAAATCATAGGCCTCTATTTTAAGTATTTGTGACTTAATAAATTTCATGAACCTCTATTCTCTAATTACCGTTACGCGTCCGCGCACCGACTTAATGTTAAAACTTGGCTGTAATTTTTATGTCGTATAGATTTGGTTTACTCCATTCAACATTTTAAAGAGTACAAAAGATTGTCTTACGCATAGCAAAATATCTATTCAATAGAACCATTCTGTAAATAATTAGAATTAAAAAACTGCTTGTCCGAGCGAAAGTCCTAATGCCCGTGACGTTTTCTGTTTTTGGGCACACAAGCCTAAATAATAATATTTGACACATCATTTACGCGCGCGGCGCGAGCCCTTAGTTAGTTCTAAGACCTGTTAGCAAGTAGACGTCTATTGCGTTGGCGTACCGTCGATGAATTGCGTAAGAGTATAATTACCATATCTTTGGTTTTCAATTTTTCTATTTACCATGTCCTTATTTTTATACTCGATTTTTGAAGGTAGATCCACGTTGTTAATTTAAATAGATTCAGTACTTTGGCCTTCATACGTTGTAGTAAGACAGTATTTGCATAAGCTGAAGATTTTGGANCAAATCAACAGACAATGGGACTTTTCAAGGCAAGAGTATATAGGCACTTTGTACCATCCTAAACTGCATCCTACCTGCTTTGTTATGCATAGAAAAAACTTCGTGAATATGCAATGGGTACTGGACAGAAGAAGCTTGGAGAATAAACTATATACAAATGGATCCTAAAACCCATGTAGACATGGCATCGACTTAGCCTCGCAAATGTAGAAATACTTTAACGTTTTCAAAATAAAGTTTTAAAAACCTTGAGCTGTGCACCTTGGTTTACAAAGTCCATTGAACTGATACCAAACGTCAAAGAGGGTGTGGAAAATCCTGTAAAGCTTACAACCAAAGACTAGTCCTTCTTGCAATCTATTTGCTGCATCCCTTCTAAATTCTAAGAATTCTGCATTTAGGCTCAGGAGAAAGCGAATAGCATCAATCTAAAAACTTATTGTAAAAGAATCGAGGTGGAACTGTCATTATTACGCAGTCATTATTACAAATTCAATTTAATCTGCAAATGGGTGATGGCTAATCGCAGATAGATTAAAAAGAGGAAAAATCACTTAAATCATTAATTAATTTTTCGATATATGCATATCCGAAAAATCAAATTTGTGAGATCTCCTGATCCATAATCTGTACGTTAAATCGTTTGTACCACATTGAAATCAAATAAATGATGATTAAAATTCTGATGAAATGTGAAACGTACCCCCTTCTGACCGAAACTAAGTGTTCCTGTTATAGCCTCGATTATTGCAGTACACTGAAAATATCTTGATACAATAAATAATAGAAATGAGTGTTTTCCTTTTTTCAAAGGGTTATTCAGTGTACCTACAGCGTTTTTAATGACGCTATATATTTATATACAAATTTATCAATGCAAGATATTGTTTTCTTACTATTTTACATATTTTTTATAATTACCGTTAGATTAAGTATTAGCCTTATCTAATTACCGTGACCATAAAATTTTTGGGTCTCATTTACGCGAAAACCGCTTGGAATAATTTGACGCCTTAACGATTGTTAAATTCGTACTTTTCATGTGTTTCATATTTAAATGCGTTTAAGTCAATTAAGCCAAATTTCAAAAATGATATGGTAATTAGGCTGAGAACGCCTAATCGTGAGAATGGCCGAGATAATGTAGTCCACGCGCGCGAAGCCGCGGGCGGAAAGCTAGTCCTATTATATGCGAAAGTTTGTATGGATGTCTGGATGTCAGGATGTCTGAATGTCAACATGTTTGTTACTCTTTCACGCAAAAACTACTAAACGGATTTCGACGAAACTTTACAGTATTATAGTTTATAACCCAGAATAACATATAGGCTATAATTTATGACGATATTACAAACTATTTCAATGAATAAATAAGACGTGAGAAATATTTACAAAAAAGCGCCATCTATCAACATTGCTTTTGACGTTCATAAATATTCATGCGGACGATGAAGACGACTACTATTATAAAAAAGTACCCACTGTTGAGTTGGTGAAACTTACTATTTTCTCACAACTGTTCACGACTCGACAGCCTACACACACCGCACTGCCGAAATATATTATCGGAGGCTCGTAAATAAGGTAATTGGTAGTAATTCCGTTACTAATATTATTCTTAAAATCCACTACCTATAGGCAAGCTTAATTTATCAAAATTATTAATCCCGTTAACCCAAGAAAGAAAAAAAAATTGGTTCAAACACAGTATACTCGTAACACAATAATCAGATATTTGATGGAATAAAATTTACTGAACCAAAATGGCACCGACTCAGCGTGTGTCATGATGCTGGTATTCAGTAGGTGCCACCTTGAAAAAAGCGTCACCAGTGACGCAACGACAATAGGCTAGATGACAAAATTTCAATTATTTTTCCGTCAGACAGATATTAGAAAATAATATTAGGTTTCTGTAGGACAGTCTGCGAACGTTCGCAAAGAACTTGGTTGGCGAGCATTCGTCGCAGAATCGAACTCACGGGCGGTCGCTTGCCGGGTGAATTCGATGTTTTCAAATTTAACTTTTAACTGATGCTTACTGAAGTTAAAAATCTCACCGGAGATAAGGTCCAAGGAGCATGAAAGGAAAACCATGAAAGTAACATTTTCTATCTACAGTATTAAAATTTACGCTCGTATTCACAAACGATGCTTGCTTAAGTGAAGTAGCAAATCGAACGCAGAGCGTTGAATAGAGCTCTGTGATTGGTTCATGTGTCACCCTGTGCGTCCACGCGCACTATGAGCCCTCATTGTAATGTTTGTGAATAGCTTTAGAGTACTTTCCCTTCAGGTGGTATTACAAAATTCCACTATACTAGCCCTATCTATACTTACTTATATCTATATTCTATATCTATAGACTAGCCCTATCTATACTTACTTATATCTATATTCTATATCTATATATCTATTATATAAAAGAAAGTCGTGTTAGTTACTCCACTTATAACTCAAGAACGGCTGAACTGATTTAGCTGAAAATTGTCAGGGAGGTAGTTTAGAGCCAGGAGAAGGACATAGGATACTTTTTATCCCGTTATTTATTGCCATTAAGGCGGAACAAAGTTCGCCGGGTCAGCTAGTTATAAATAAATGCGAAAGTAACTCTGTCTGTCTGTCTTTCACGCTTAAACCACTGAACCGATTTTGATGAAATTTAGTATAGATGTAGTTTGAGTCCCGGGAAAGGACATAGGATAGTTTTTATCTCGGTTTTTGAAACAGGGACGCGCGCGCTATCTGGGGGCACGGCAGTGCCCCCGCCAAGTCGAGCGCGAAGCAAACACTGCCGTACCATCTTTACTGGAACCATTTCGCCGCATTTTCAGGCCTCTATTTGAGAACCTCTGGATATGACCAGAACGCAGAAATTTTTGTCATCTAGTAAGCTATAATCACATACTTAAAATCCAAAATTTCAAGTTTGTAGGTCAATTAGTTCCGAAGTTAAGCGAAAGCAAAGTTTCGCATTTATGACACTCACTCACTCACTGATGATCATCAAAATAGAACTAGTACTTCCCATTAACTCAGAGAGCTGAAATTTGGTACAGAGTTAGGGTTTAATGGCCACATAAAGGGAAAACTATAAAAACTAGGAAAATCGAAGATCTGGAGTAACACCACATTCATAATAATCAATACTACTAGCGCCACACCGGCGCCGTGGTGTTCGCCTGTACCGCTCACCGCTAGATGGCGCTAGCACTTTGAGCGTCGATTTTCTGCACCGCGGTGTCCAGATTTTTTTTCCCCTCTAGTTATTATTAAATCAATTCTGATTCGTTGTCCTTTTTAAAGATGTGTTTAATATCGTAAAAAAAATGACGATAATATTAAAGGACGACGACGTTAAATAATTATGCCACATTCTACAAAAAGAAGTGAAATCCCACCAAAAACATTCTGTAAAAAACTAGCCAAGTCTCGATGGAGCTGCTTGTTTATCTCTAAAAAGTAATGAAATCTAGACAAAGTCGTGCCAAGTCTATGGTTCTTTACTGCGATTTCTGCCGTTCTTACCTTTAAGTCTTAGAGCGGCTGCTTGCGCTTCCTCCTGAATGAAGAGGTCTAAAGATCTTAGATTCAGAAGGTACTCAAGTGATGTCGATGGAGTGGTTCTATACAACTAGTGGCCGCTATGCTTACTAAAGCGTTGCAGGCTTTGGAGTTTTGATCTTGCTGTGGAAAGTTGTGTTCTGTGCCACCACACAAGTGATCCATAATAATATGTGTAAGAGGGCCATATAACCGACGTGTAGAGCCAAAGTGTTATCTTTAGGTTGAGACCTCATCTAGTACCAACGAGTCTCTTGCACTGCTGGAATGCTGCCTATATAGGCCATTTTTATTTTGTTCTCGACATGACTCGCCCAGTTCAATTTGTTGTCAAAGGTGATGTTTATAAAGAGTTCTGGTAGTTGGAGCTCTTGTGAATTCGATAATGCACTTATTAAGTACTTTTATTAACAACGTTAGGCACTATGAATTCAATTATATGTTTTATTAGTAGATATTCACCATTATTTATTAAAACTATTAACTAAAATTCTTTGA